CCCCACCCACCCTCTTCCCATCCCCCAGTGCCCCACCCACCCTCTTCCCAACCCCCAATGCCCCACCCACCCTCTTCCCATCCCCCAGCCAACTGTTCTTAAGAGTTCTGGACTTCCCCCAGCACGAATAAAAAGTGTGCCCAAGTGCACTGAGAAGTGAGCAAACCAAGCTACCGGGGCAAAATGAAGAAATGAGTGAGTGAATAAATGAGTGAATAAACGACGAACAAGGAACAAATGACGGCGAGTGGACGCATGGGTGTGGCAGTGAGTGAAGGCATGGTTAAATGGCCATGAACGTCTGAACCTGGAAAATTGGCTCTGTTGGGTACTTGAAGGGAGGGGAGCCTGAGGTCTGACACAGAGGCATCAGGACCCGACCTGCAGCGGGAACTCTGTTTACTTCTGTGAGGACCATCTGAAAGTCAGAGATGGATGAAGGGGACAAGCAAGGTGAGGACAGAGGGGAGCCCTGGCCGCCTGCCTACCAGGGCCTCGGAAACTGATGTGACCTGTCACCAGGAGCTCGCTGGTAACTGTCCCAGGGACAAAACTCTTAAGGGGGGGGAGATTTGGGGGCAAAGCAGGGTAGGTATCTGGGTGGGACTGTCCCTCCACTCTCAACGTCCCCCTGACAGGTTCGTGACAGGAGTAGGACCTTCCCCGGGGGTCCCTAGAGGCTGCTGGCCAGGGACAGTGGAGTCTACAGGGGCTTCCTGGCTGGGTGAGCCTGCCAAGTATGGATTCCAGGGCAGATCTCCTGACTCTGTGCCTGGGTGTGGTGTCCACCTCTGGAGGGATGCTTTGGTATGCCACGCCCCCCTCTTCCAAAAGTCCCTGGAAATCCAAAGCTGTCACTCAGGAGAGGACACAGACTCCTGCCAAATCTCACAAGGGTCCACTATAGCTCAACCACAGAGCAGGCCAAGGGCAGTGGAGGGGCGCACTGGAGGGGCGCACTGGAGGGGTGCACTGGCGGGGCGCACTGGCGGGGTGCACTAGCGGGGTGCACTGGTGGGGTGCACTGGAGGGGTGCACTGGAGGGCGCACTGAAGGGGCTCACTGGAGGGGTGCATTGGAGGGGCGCGGCTGGGGGGGTGCGCCAGGGGGGTGTGGCTGGGGGGTGCGGCTGGAGGGGCGCGCTGGGGGGCGCGCTGGAGGGGTGTGGCTGGAGGGTGCGGCTCAAGTGACCGTGGACCTGGGGTTGTAAGGGCGAGAATGGTGCGAGTGGATTTGAACAAGAAGGGATTTTTGAAAATGTTTTTTTTTTCCTTTATGTGATCTACTATGTGAGGTTGCGTGTGTACCCCTGAGGGCATGCACGCACATGTCACAGTGCATATGTGGAGGTCAGAGGACAGGAGTCAGTGTCCCACCATGTGGGGCTCTCAGGGATTGAAGTCCGGTTGCCAGGTGAGGACAGCCTGAAGCCAGTCTGGAGACCGCATCCTTCAGTTAGGTGGGCAGAAAGCACGCCCTCGGCCGAAGCCAGTTTAAGGCTGTGTGAGACACTTGTCACACAGAGAGCATCAGTGTCAGGTAGCGACTGACAGTGAGCTTCTGGGGGCTGGGCAGTGAGTTTGAGGGAAGCAGAAGAGAGAGCTATTGCATCTGGAAGAGCAGGTTTTCTGGAGAACCTTCCAGAAGAGTAGAAGAGTAGCCTTTACACTGTGGGAAGCTGGCTGAGAAGGGATTAGAGGATCAGCCAGGATCATGCCTGTCTCAGGAACCCCACAGTTTAGTCTTCCCTCTTCCCCCTGCTGGGTTCTGGTGATTGACAGCTACAGCCGCTGGTCCAGCCACTCTGCACACACAGCTCTCTGTGCCTCTCCTGGGGACCACAAATGGGAAGGGATGGGGATTCTGCTAGCAACTCTGCCTATGGAAGGCTGAGGACCGCTGCCCCAAGCTGTGATGTAGCATCGTTGAGAAGAGGAGAGGTAACAGAGCATCAGCAGAGCTGTGGAGAGGGGGGTGGGGTGGGGTGGGGCGGGAGATGCAGAAGACATGGCAGGGCTTCTGTTGCAGAGCCCCCTCAGTGCCCATCCCTGTGATTTCCGGCCTCTGTGCCTGAGAACTGTGTGCAGACATAGTCCTCTTGTTCTTCACCGTCCAGTGCGTAGTGACCCGAATGGCATCTCCAGGGATCGAGTCGGACAGCTCACACCCCTGGTCCTCTACTGCCCACCTGTAAAACACTGACTTGGGGCCGGTGAGATGGGGCAGTGGGCTGCCAAACCTAACAGCGTGAGTTTGATCCCTGGGTTCCCCATGGCAGAAAGAGAGAGAGAACTAGGTCTTCTGACCTCCATACACAGCTTATGCCCCCCCTCAAACAGACGAATAATAAATACATGTAATTTAAAAAATTTAAAACTACAGCAGTTTGTTGAGCCCCTGAGTGGGGACATCTCCAAAGTGTCAACACTGGGCATGTGCAGGCAACCCAATTGTCCCTGTGACACGGACATTCTGGAAGCTGGAGACAAAAAAGCAATGGAAGGAAAGAGGGACACCTGCCATTTCAGGACAAACTAAGAGAGCCCTAAGCAAGAAGGGACGTTTGAGGCCAGATAGGAATAATGTTGCCTGTGTTCAAGGCAGGGGGTCCAGAAGCGTGGAGAAGGATGGGGGGACACTGAGAACAGGGCAGTGTGTGGGGAGCAGTGGAAAGGGGCTGGGACAAGGGGTGGGGTTTCCTTCCTCTCTGGGGGATGGGCCTCTGGACTCTGCTTCCTTGTGTGGCTCAAACAGCTTGACTGGAATTGTGCACATGCTTCGTGGGGGGTGGATGGGCCACACAGATCACCAGGGAAGTGGCTGGTCAGAATGTGTGGGTGCACAGGGGTGACTCCTTGCAGCACCACAGACAGTGGTCCTAATACCCAGGCAGTTTTGGGGCACGGGAAGGCAGGGCACATGGCTCTGTATCTCAGGGCTCCAGCAGAACTTAATTGCACACATCAGCCAATGGCACGCAGGCCTCTCCGCTCCCCATAGTGAACTGGATCTCTAGCGCCCTCTTCCTTCAGAGCTTAGCAAGAGACTGGTGTCAAGCTCTGAATTTCTCTTAGATCCCTTCAGATGTTGGATGTAGCCTCTAGGGGAGTTAGGACCAGAGTCCCACCTGGGAGGCCAGGAGGCCAGCTTCCAGCTGTTGTGTGACCCTGGGCGAGTGTTTAGCCTCTCTGTGGTTCAGTTGCCCAGTCTGCTAACGGGGATACTGATTACCAGAGCTGGGGACAAGTTACCAACAAAGGTCCTGCTAGCAGAGGTTACTCTTCCTTTGAGACTATTGGCCTGTCCCCTGCATTTGCAGCCACAGGGTGGGAACGTCACCCAAGCAAGTGGCCCAGCTCCCCACAGTGACTCCTAGAGTCCTCAGGGGGTAGAGGGGATTGGGCTGTGGAAGAGGGAGTGAAGCCATCCAGCCCCAGCCCCAGTTGACAGACAGATCTCCAAGGAGCTCCCTGTGTTGCTCAAGCCGACCTACCTGGCCTTGACCTCAGTGGTGACTGGATAGCTGCATCACTGTCTAACACAGTATGGTGCAAGCCAAACTCTACGTGCTGGAACAAGACCAGTCACACTAAATCCCTTGGTGGCCCAGGGAGTGTATCGGGTAGAATGCAGAACTCAACAGACAGGCATTACTATATTCAGAGGTCAAGGCAAACAGGGCTAAGAAGGAAGAAAGAAGGAGGCCGGAAGCCAGGGAGGCACCTTCAGATGATGGTCAGGGACAGCCTGGGCCTGAAGAAGGTCAGGATGGGGCAACACAGCAGGGGAGCTGGCCACTGGCAGTGGGAGTCAGAGCAGGACAGCTGGAGTCCAGGGAGAGCAGCCGCCCCTCTGGTGAATAGTGATTTTAAATAGTGATCTTCATAGTCAGGTCCCTGACGCCTGCCGTGAAGCCCCAAGGCTTGACATTCCAAGTCGACTCGGTACTCCCTCTGATCTGTATGTTTTCCCCTCCACAAGCTTGTCCCCCACCCTGAGACCTTCACCTGGCCTGCAGTTCCTCCATCTGCCTCTGAGAAGCGTGCACTGCCTTGTTTGGCTCACCCCTGAGCTGTGGAGCTGCTTCAGTTCTGACTCCAGAGAGGAGAGTATCCTTGGGTTGGATAACTCTCCTCTCCATCAAGGGCAAAGATGAACCAAGCCTGATGAGTTGGCAGAGAGACCCCCAATGTGCTAGAAAAGACACTTCTTTAGGTTACAAACCTGCCTCTCATCTCCTCCTTGGGTCACCCCCAGGGGAGGAATGGGACATCTGGAGTCCATTAGGACCCTATCAGTCCCTGCCAGCGACGTTTTGACTAGGCTCTGAGATGGGGTTTCTTGTATATTAACAGTGTTTGTTTTCCAATGAAGATTTTAAAGTGAAGATTGCTGCCCTGGCCCTCTCTGAGGGCAGAGAGGAGGCACGGATCCTACCCTGTTGGTCAAGGACTCTTGGGCCTCTCAATGGGGATAGTGGAAGCTTCCAAACATGGTCCAAGGTCATGCTAAACACTCTCATGACATTTCACCTTTGAAAAATGTTATTAGCTGGATCATTTTGTAGTATTAATCTCCATAAATGCAGCCTACACTGTGTTTAAAAAAAGATAAACGAAAAGGACTAACTAGACCATTGTCTGGGGTAGATGGAAAATTACAGGATGCTGGAGAGCACAGGAGTTATTCTGGGGACTTGGCATTTTTATTTGTTTATTTATTTATTTAGGCTTGAAAGCACTGACTTTAATTACTCTGGCAACAAAAATTGAGTTAACAAACGTCTAACAAGCTCCTATTATAACTGCTAGACAGTGCTATCGGCTCTCCAAATCCATTCCCTGTTTTCTCTTGACAACAGGCGTTAGGACTCCCGGGGGACAGGTGAGTGAGCACTGATGAAGGATGTGTTTGCTAACCTAGCACTGTAGTTCCAGTCTCGGGACTCATAAGCAGCTGGACGGAAGTTACAGGAGGAAGGGGCGCTGCTTGGAACGTAAGGTAACCTTGACTTCTGGCCCCATGTTGGCTATGAGGCAGGAGGCAGAGTGCGAGGCTGGAGAGGAACAGCTTTGGGTTGCAGCTATGAAGGAGCCGGCCCCTCAGGACGGAACTGGAGGGTCCAGAGAGCAGTGCTGGTCAGGCATCAGGAGCTAGGGGGTTTCTTCTTGGCTTCCAGGTCCTTTTTAATCTCTTCAAGTTTTTTAGCTAGGTTTGGTATGTCACAGCTCTGAGCCAGATACATTCCAACCACGTTGTCCAAAGTAAATCCAAGCAGGAATTGGAGCATGATGATGGGGGGGGGCATGCGAGGAGGGTGTGAAAGTGGCTTCAGCTCCAGCTCTGCTCCCGGACTCCTCCCCAGTGCGAGGGCGGAGCCCGCCGTCAGGTCTGACTCAGCATTTGAAAACATTGTATGTCTGCCTAGTGCCAACTGGTTTAGGACCAGGTAGAGGGGAGGATGGGGTTAAGTGAGCAGTTAGGAAGTTAGGAAGCCACTATCAGGATCCAGCATAGTAGGGTATCAGAGATTGCATGTGAAGACAGACTTGGGCATTGAAGGCTCTGTCTCCAGTGCCAGTGCCAGTGGGTGGCACTACTAAGAGGTGATTGGCTCACGAGGGCTCCGCCTTCCTCCATAGACCAATCCTCTGATGGCTTTATAATTGGGAGTACTATTGGGAGATGGTGGGAACCAGGAGGTAGAGCCTTGTTGGAGAAAAATCACCAGGGCATGCCCTGGAAAGATAGGCCTTGTCCCTGGACCCGGCTTCTCTCTGCTTCCTGGCCACCACGAGGTGAGCAATCTTGTCCTGTCTCAGCCTCCCTCCATGAACTGAAGCCACGATGATGAGAAATGATGGCAGCTTGCTGTGGGCCAGTGGGATGATGGACTTAAGAAGATGGGTAAATGGACTGTGATGGAGATGCCCAGGACAGAGGTCGTGCCTACTTCATGGAGATCAAGAGAGTGGTGAAGAGGCAGCCAGACACTGGGGGACAGGTAACTGTAAGCACAGGTGTACGGTCCAAGTCAAAACCCCTGGACCTTACAGACACCCCCTGCCCACCCCTGGGATAAAATCAGCTGAAGATCCCATAGCGTGGTGGTTTAAATGGAAATGGCCCTCATAGGCTCTGATTTAAATTCTTGCTCTTGAAGATGCTGCAGAGAGCCCCTGCATTGTGGATGCTCTGAAGTGTAGTGTAGTCCCTTCATAGCCACTGCAGATCAGCGATCAAGGACCAGAACTGCAGACAGAGCAGGGTGGGGTGGTGCACACTTTTAATACTAGCACTGGAGAGTCAGAGGCAGAGGCAGGCGGATCTCTGTGGGCTTGAGGCCAGCCTGGTCTATATAATTCTGGGTTACGCTGGGAATACACGGACTGTTTCAAAAACAAAAAAACAAAACCAAACACTGACAGCAAAGCCAATTATTCCTACGGACAGCAGGGAACCCTCCCTGATCACCCCACCCAAAGCCTTCCAACCAATCCAGACACCACAAAAACTCCCAAACTGACAGTCCATCCGGAGAAGATGGGGTAGCTTCAACCTGGTGAGATTAAGGTTTCACTGCCCCCTCCCCCACCCTGGCCCAGACAAGAATGCACTTGCCCAGGAGTTCCAGTGTCCCCAGCTCCCACCCCTGTGACTATGCACCACCTACTTGGCTGAGGGTTCTGTCTCCGAGTGGATGTTTATGAGCAGTCTGGGCATTGTGTTGTTTGTTTGGTTTCTGTGGGTGTGATGTCAGTTGTCATTGTCCATTTGATTGGATTCAGTCACCCAGGAGGGCACAACACAGGCATTTATCTCTGAATGTTTCCAGAAAGGTTCGACTGAGGGGTCGCCCGCCCTGAATTTGAGGGGCACATCCCAAGGACTACAGAATTAGGCTGAATAAAAAAGGAGAAGGCAAGCTGAGCGGCAGGGTGCGCCTCCCTGCAAGAGGCCTCAAGGTCCACACTATCCCACCAGCTACCTTGAACTTCTGTGGCCATGCTGAGCAGCACTGTGAGACAAAATCGCCTCTCCTGCCCTAAGTCGCATTTGTCAGCCATGTCAACTAAGAGAAGCAACTAAGACGCAGAGCTTGCAGGCTCCATCCAGTAGGCTCTGCGGGCCATCTTGCTGTTCTTTTAACACCACCAGCTCTTAAAGGCCAGTTGTTGGTTCTCAAGCAACAGCATCCAAACTTGGCTTTGTTGGGCTTGTGCCGGAGCCTGAGGGGGACAGTGCACAGGTCAGGGTTGCTGGGCTACCTCTGGGAGGCTGTGAGGTATGCATCATCCTACACAGACAAAAATGTGTGCCCCCTCAGAGTAGCTGCCTGCTGCACCCCACCCCAGGGCCCCTGCCAAGCTCTCCTCAGACCTCAGCACCAGGACTGTACTTGGCTGGTTGTGACCTGGCGCACATTATGTCCCTCTGTGCTTAGCTTGCAAAACACCACAGATATGCTCGCTACTGCCACTGCTGCAAGGTCATGGCTGGTCGGGGGGATGGGGTGGGGTTTGAGCACTGGAAAGCTTTGAGGTAGAGTCAGCAGCCCCTGGCCATGGCCGTATCCAAAGGCCATCTCTCTTCCGTGTCCATTTGGTCCCTGTAGCAACTTTTCAAATGCCCACAATAGTGCAAAAGAAGCCACAGATAACCCAGAAACAAGTGGACAAGGCTGCATTTCAATAAAACTGTATTTGTACAAGCAGTGGCCTCTGTGTTTTGTCTGCTCTTACCCCTGTGGTATCTTCAGGACATGATACAGGATCGTTAAATAATATTGTAACAGTTGAACCTTGCTGATTGCTAGCTATAAGGTCTTAGCAGATGGCTTTTATCTGAGCCTCCATTTCTTTGTTTATTTTTAATTTTTTTTTGGTTTTTTCGAGACAGGGTTTCTCTGTATAGCTGTGGAGCCTATCCTGGCACTTGCTGGCCTTGAACTCACAGAGATCCGCCTGCCTCTGCCTCCCAAGTGCTGGGATTAAAGGCATACGCCACCAATGCCCAGCTATTTCTTTGTTTATAAAGTTAAAAAAAAAAGAGTTCAGCTAAGATGTGCTTCTGCCTCTGGAAGTGAACCATGGGCTGAGAACATCCCTGTACTATTATCTTATTTAAAAGTCAGGGTTTGGGGGTACGCTCAGGATTTGGGGGTATGCTCAGTGGGTAGAGAGCTACTGTGAAGCATGAGGTCCTGAATTTGGATCCACAACTCCCACGCAAAGGCTGGCGTGGTGTTCACCTGTAATCCCAGCGCTGGGAAGAGGAGACAGGAAGATCTGTGGGACTCAGTGGCAGTCAGTTTAGCCGACCTGTGAGCTCCAGGTTCAATGAGAGACCCTGTCTCAAAAAATAAGGCAGAGAGCCAACGAGATAGCTTAATAGGAAAAGGTACCTAGGGGCAAGGCTGATGGCCTGAGTTCGGTCCCTGGAACCCTCATGGTTGGAGGAGAGAACCAACTCCCAGAAGTTTTCCTCTGAGGCACACACATGCGCATCATGTACACACATGTGTGTGCACATACACACCATGTATATGCCATGTACACATGAGTACACACGAACACACTTGTGACACATGTACACACTTGTGACACATGTGCACACCATGTACACACTTGTGACACATGTACACACCATGTACACACACGTGCATAAACAGCATGTAAGGATTTATTTACTTAGTTGTCCTCTTTGGTTTGATTTTATCTTATTTCTCCTTTGTCTGAAACGCTCGTCTTAACTAGCAGTGAGTCTCTGACCTCCCCAGGGAACACAGCCTGTCCACCTGTCCCTGCACTCTCTTCCACAGTGTCTTCTCATTGCAACTCTTGGTTACAAGTAACAGAACTTTGAACTGGCTGGGACATAAAGAAATTTATTGGCTTGTGAAAATTAAAAGGCCATGTAAAATGTGGCTTGCAGAACATTCTAACAGGAGGCTCCAAGGAATCCAAGATCTCTATATCAGAATTCAGCCTTCCATGTCCATCAAGGGAAGGAGAGAAAAACCATGCTTGACAGAATTTATCATCTATAAAATGGACTGCTGGTAGGGTAATCGTGTACTCTCATTCCGTGTTCCCTCCCAATGAACTGGGGGGATGGGGTAGACGAGCTTGGGCATGAGGGAAGGACAAGAGGGAGAATCCACAGATACTCACAAGCTGGCTGTGAGCTCCCCAGAGCAGGTGGCTGCAAAGTTCCCTCTAATATGGGCCTCAATATAAAATCTAAGTGGCGGGGTCAGGGGGAGAAGCAGAGAGATAAATGTATATGAACTGCTTTGAGAAACTCTATACACCAGCAGGGTTATTATCACTGCTGGAAGTGATTAGTGACCGCCTGGCTTTCATCGCCCTGGGAGGAGATGGAGCCTTGAGCCCACAGGAACCTGGGAAATGTCTGGCCAAGGGGGATCAGAGAAGAGCTGCTTGCAGACCAGAGATAAAGTCCCGGGTTTAACATGGCCAAAAATCTTCGGAGCCCTGCAAGTATTTAGTTTTGGCCCAGACAGCAGTTGAGATGTCTCTGGGCTGGAAAGCTCACCATGATCTCTCACCTGAAGCACCCTGGGTGTTTTGATGGAAAAGGAGAGCTTCTGGTTTGTGGAAAATCAAGGTTGAGAAATGAACCAGCAGCTGTGGGCAGAGGAAGAAGGGCAGAGTGGAGACTCCTAGCATTTTAGAGCTGGAGGGAGGGCCCGGGAGACGGCTCAGCCCGTAAGGGTACTCACTGCCAAGCCTGATGACCTGAGTTCAATTCCCGAGACCCACGTGTGGAAGGAGAACCAACGCTTGCAAGTTGTCCTCTGTCCCCTAGAGGTGTACCACGGCATGCTTGTGCCCCTTCACACAAATAAACGAAATACAAAACAAAACAACAACACTTGAATTTAAAGCAAGATTGCACGGATGCTCTGAAGTAATTCCTGGCCAGCAGTTGTGCCTACTATGTGCTAACACCTGTGCTGTGGGGATTTCTCTTACTGACCACGTACTGTTTATGAATTAGCCTTGCTCAGTAACTCAAACACTTCAGGATTTCGTTGTTTTTCTTGGGCCTCCAAGCCACAGACTAAGCCAGTGAGCTGTGAAAAAGCCAAATGCAGACCACCATCTTAAAGCTCTCACCAAGGCCCCTTCTAGTATCCCGGGGTGTGGGGTAGCCGGAGTCTTGGTGTACAAGGCACACTTCTCTGTACTCTGCCTGTGTTGTGATTTGAATCTTGTTTTACATGTGTGTCCCCCGGATGGTGGCACCTATCTGGGAGGCTGTGGA